TCAAAATTTCTCTCCACTTCGCATTTAGTGTTGTGTAGTTGCAATTTTGGACAGGAAGGATGCGAGAACACTAGCTTGAGTACCTGTTGCCCCTCTAAGGGAACCTGCTCCTTCATGGTGACCTGCTCCGCCAGCTATGTGGGGACCTATTGTGTCTTGGCAACTTGCTATTCCGTCGTTGCTTACTGCTTTCGGATTCATCCTCCGATCTCTTTCACTTTTTGCTAAGCTCTAACCAAGATTCGATCGCTTCTTCACCCTTCGTGAACTTGGCGACTTGGTTAAGGAACTCCTCCATAGAGGCTGGAGGGTTCAACTCAACTCCCCAGCACAAGTCAAGATGCCAAACGCCGTTAACTGCCACGGTGAGTTGTACAACCAAGTTGAGGTTAGGGATCTGTAATCACTCCAAGTTGAACCTCTTGATGTAATCCTAGAGCTTCTCGTTAGGTTGCTGGACGACATTCAGTAAACAGGTTGTCGATTTCGGGCACCACTTACTCATCGCGAAGTGTGTGGTGAAGATGTTGCAAATTGACTCCAACTCTTAATGGAGCCCATGGCGAGCCTCAAGTACCATATCCGGGTTGTGCCCTAGAAGGTGGTTAGGAAGGCCATGCAGAGGCTCGCATTGTTGGCCCCACGTAGCTGCATCAATGCCTGGAAGCTGTCGAGGTGGTTGACTGGGTCGGTGATTCCGTTATAAGACTTCAGGTTGGGGGCCTTGAAATCCTTCGGTTGTAGGGCCATGAGGATTTCTACCGCCACTCGCAAGGTTTGGGTCACCGCTACGTAGACAAGGTGTCGATTCGGCTCACCTCCTTCTTTTCTTCCTCTTTCTTTTTCACCTCCTCATTGTCATTCAGAGTGAGACGGCTCCTTCCTATGTTGGGGCATGCACATCTACGACGCCTTCTTTGGGACCCTTCAGTGGAGTTGGTAGCCACGGACATCACAGCTCGGGTTGATTCCAAGTGGGAACTTGGTTCTGGTCATCGTGATGGAAAGGTGGGTCCTATACTTGGTTCTAGTTCTGATTTTGGTTAAGGGCTGCTAGTTTTGGTTAGTGTCTGCCCTGCGGCTTGATGTTGTTGGTGTTGTTGTTGTTGTTGTTGTTGTTGTTGCATCGTTGCTAGTGCTGCAAAATGACCTTCCCACGTTCTCAACTATAGGTCAATCCCACGGACGAACTACACCAGTTCATTGAACTGGTGACCATCGATTCCAACGAGAACCACGAAGGGCTCGCCCGGTGGAAGAGGTGTGTTCATAGTGGGTAGACAGCGGTTAGGGTTCTATGTGACCGGGACGCCTGGTAAGGTCAAGGGCAAGGTGAACTATCCGATAATGATAGAGGGGACGTTGGTATGCATGGCATACTGGTCTTGCCCCCTTGTGACTGTTCCATCAACACATACGTTGTTGTTGACGAGGTTGTTGTTGGAAGATGCCATTGCAAATGTAGTTAGAAAGAGAGCGTGGGAATACGAATTTTGTGTAGTGATTCCCACAAACAATGCCAATTGATGATGCACGATCTAGTGCTCCTTGCTGGTTGGCAGCTTGGACCCCGGATTGAGTAGGTTGCTTGGTTGAGCTGCAAGAGAGAAGTAATCAGAGTGTTCGGGTTGCTTGACCTGGGGTGGACACTTCGATGCTTAAGTTAGCGAGTTGGTATTTGATTGCAAGAGAACAAGAGAACTAGAGTGCTTAGAGAGCTAACTCATGCATCCCTTGTGAGGTTGGAGGTGAAGGCCTTATATAGGCGAGCTACCATGAGCCTCACGAAACGCGTCTGGGATCCCTGGCCCGTTTGGTTTAGAGGTGGTTTCACGCCTAGAGGTGGATGCTGCGTAAGCGGGTAATGCTTATCCAATCTTGCCTGAAGCGGGCGGGGTGATAACCGGCTCTTCCGATGTGGCGTCGTGATCCTAGGGAATTCGGAGGTGATAACCTACTAAAGGGGGAGGCCGCTCGACACTTCAGGCAGGTTGCTAACCAGAGTCGGGTTAGATCGGTGGAAGCAGGTCGCCTCTTATACCGACTTGAGGTCTTGCCTAGCTGTTCGTAGTTCGGCCTATCAGAGTGGTGCCGAGGTCGTCGGGACGGTCGTGAAGTGTCCAAAGTACTCCTAGGGTCTACCTACGTGGTGCCGAGGTGTCACTTTACTGTTCTACGCTGCCATGTGACGTGATATCATTGGAGGACCAAATTACCCCTCATCACATATGATATAAAAACACTATGATATGACAAAGATGGTGGGTTTAACATGTTATACACAACTATGTCACTATTGGCATTAATATCAAGATCCTATATATTTATTATTCCATTAATTTTTCTTAGAACCCAATGGACATTTCTTTTAATATTTTTAAAAGCGGTGTCATTTACAACTTGCCATATAAGATATATTTTATTTAAGGTATTTTTCTTATAAATAAAT